CCAGTTATTATTATTAATTATATTTGTGAGTAGAGGAGGGAAATAAGTAAAATTTTATTGTGAATGTTGAATATGGGGTATATTGTTCATAATAAAAATATAATCTGAAAATATTGCCAGTTTGGTTTCCCTGCTTGTTCCCATGGTGATGTTATTGCTTTGCCTGGAATGTTCCAAAGTATGGCACTAAACAAATATATCTTGTATTTATTCAGTTACAGGTGTTTTTATTTCTCAAAACTACTGCATAAAATACATGTATTATCAATGTGGGTGGACCCACTTCTCCACAAATCTGACCTGTAACTTGTCTTCATGCAGTTAAATTAAACTCCATAATGTAGGAATTTCAGGAAAAAAAATAACAACATGGAGTCAAGCAAGTGGTGGACCCTCTATCAGAAATGTTACACAGTGCACGTTTAAACAAATTTAACATTTAAAGACATGTTTTAGCACATTTCTGTTTGCCAAAATATATTGTCATTATTGTTATTGGAATAGACAATATTATCCACCACTACTTGTCAGAGTGGTGTTGTGGTCCGTACAGTCTTGGAAAGTGTCTGGGAAGCTGCATCTCTTTGTGCCCTGACCCCTACACAAAGAGGTGGAAGATGGAAACACAATCTTAAAATAAACCATCTTCATTCCAAGAAGCACTTTCACTATATATCCTTCTTTTGAACAATCCAAATAGCAACCATGCTCCCTCCAACAGCTGTGAGTCAGCATCTTGGGCTCTTTGTTTGTGAATTAAAACCAGTGCTTTTGTTCTGCGTCAGACACAGGAGGAAGGTGCGAAATGAGAACCTCCAAAAGGTATAAAACTTGTGCTAAAAGATATTATTTTGTGTGGTTACTATAAATAATTGTGTTTATGCAGTAGTCTCACACCTTAGTTTTTTACATGGCTCCATTGCCTCTCTATTCTTGGTCTTTGATAATACAGACGCAATCTTAAACTTTTTCAGGAATCTCATTATAGCTCCAGCTTTGTGCAGAGCTCCTATTGTATGAGTTACCTACCCACAGACGTAACCATCGGCATATTAGTCACAAATTTCTCCACAATTCCTCATCCATTTTACTGCTTCACATCTCTCTGCCTAAAAGCATTTACATGTCATACGCCGATACTTTAAACTGGCTCTCACTGGATTGATATGTGTAGCCCTCAGAATGGAGTTCTACACTACAATCTGGGATGGCTCTTGTTGAACGTGCTCAGAACCAATCATGGGAATGTTCAAACAAAGACTTTGTATTGATTAGTCAAAGCGTCACAACAGCAGAACAAGCTGAAAAATCAAACTTTACTTTAGTTTAGTTAAGTTCACAGAAAAGCACAGGCATCTTACTCATCCACAAATGCATAAAGCACTTCCCTCTGCACAGTCACAAACAAAATAATCCATATTTCTACTAAAATAGGCCAAAATACATCTGTCGACGTCATGTTCGTTTGTTTCTGCACAAACCACAGTGCTGCCATATGATTGGTCAGTTTTTGTTTCCACCAGTAGTGGGGGACCTATCACATGGAAACAATTCAGCTGAAACTGTTAAAGACATATTCTCAAGAGTTTGTGAACTGACAAAAATCACAAGGCTTGCTGGCAAAGTTACCGACACTTAGAATAAAAACAAAAAAACGTTTTTTCACTTCTTTTGTCAGTGTTTATAATGTTATGGCTGATAGATATTCTGGACAGGCTGCATTCAAACCATTATGGGGTTACTGTGTATGATAAACTGCAGTTGCCTTGACCTTTCTGTGGCTTTGGCTATTATTTGTATCAAAGACTGAGTTCTGAGTGCTGAAAAAGTACTAAATGTGTTTTTTTGCGGTCCACGCCTTTTAAAATCAATCTGGATATGACAAAAATGGATTTGAGCTGGCAGACTGAACAAGGCCTCATAGGCAATACATCTTAGATCAATACAAGTCCCATAAGCTGAAACCGTCCACCTTGGACTGGAGCTTGGGCTAGAGTCGCTGAAAAAAACTTAATTTACAATGTATGTGCCCTTGGAATGACACCACATAAATGTCACTATATAAATAAATATAAAAATTAAAAATGAATAGGTGCGCTGTCAATAACTATAGTTTCTCATTTCACTTTCTCGTTTTTATTTGTTGCGTATTGAAATATTCATGTAAGAATGTACCTGCTGTCCCCTCTGGGCCAAAAGGTGATTTATTATACGTAGTGTCCAGGCGTTCAGACGGTGAAATATGGAAGCCGTAACACACAGACAGCCCATGTTAATGAGTTCCTGAGATCCCAATCAAAAAGCATAGGTCCACGCAGTCACAGCTTATAAGGCATCACATAAATAGTGTATGCCTTAAAACAAGTGTAATGCAACTTTTAAATCAAAGCTTAACATTAAAGTGCACACACTGAGTGGATTTATCACTCTTATAGGTTTGCATACATTATTTCCACAAAAAGTATACAAAACATTAGAGATTTTTTCTTTTGTGTGGTTTTGTGAAATCTCCTTCACTTTATTCTCCAATTTGTCATTCTCTCGCTGCCCACACGTCCATTTTGGTCTGTCCTTGCTTTAAGGTCGCTGAGGTAATATTATAAATGTTCACAATAAGCCTCTTTACTTTGTATTTCGGTTTCCGTTTCAGCTCCAAGCCACTGAACATCACCTTAAAGGACTTCTAACCTCAGTGTCAGCTCTGGAAAATTACAATTAATGATCAGAACTCAAAGTCATCTTTTAACACGGCTGTAATTTAGCGAGTCATACAAGCCAACAAAGTTCAATGTCACATTTAATGACATCATTTCTGTTTATTAAGTAACGTTTTTCAGTCGTTATGAATAATGTACTGTTTTTATAGAAAGAAATAGAGAAAAAAGCCACATTTAGACACGTTTTCATAGAGGCAGGAATTCACATAAGCCACCCATTTTTGCAAATTATGAATAATCATGACTGTTTGCTAACAAATAATCAAATATGTTGATAAGTAAGTGTGTGCTTAGGAAATAGACTGCCAGTGTTTAGTCATAATGACACTATTAGCATACTGATGAGCATATAATCTAAAGGCTAAATACAATAGATTTTCATTGTTTTTGTTATTGCAAGTTGATACAGAAATGTGGCGTATTAGTATATTGTCCTATTTAAAATAAATAAATGTTACTATGTACTTTGTGTAAATGAGAATCAGGCACAGGCATTAAAGGTTGTATAGAGGATTTTTTTAAGGAAAGTGAAATCCAGCGACAGTCCTTTTTCAAATGTAGTGCATGCGTGACGCCACCTTCCTCCTCCACAGCTCCCTCTAGAAATAATTTAGAGACCGACACCTCAGTTTTTAGACCCTTTGTCTGCTTCAGTCGCGCAGTCACTGAAAGGAATCTCCAAGAATCACCTCAGTTTGTCTTTGCTCCTTTTCCCCTTCTCTTCTTCTTTCAGCGACCTCAAAAACGGACTTTCTCTTGCGGCGAACTGGTCGTGGATTCTCGACCGACATCGCAACAAACTTTATGCGAACTGCGAGAGAGCCACAATTAGAAAAAGCCTCTAAGAACTGCTGCATAGTTACCTTAGAAACGTAGGGAGTTTGATTGACAACCTAACAGCCAATAGAAAATGAGGCAGCCTCGTTTTCTATTGGCTGATGTTTTTCTGGCCTCAACACGTCCACAGTTGATAGATTTTCTTTTTTTTTTTTTTTGGTCATTATAATTACAAAGCTGCTGCGTCTCTGTAATGGTATTTTAAACTTTCACTGACAATTTGAAACAAACAAAAAAATCCTCCATACAACCTTTAAGCAAAGAATAGAGAGACGGCTGCTATTAGTTGCTTAATAAATATTCTCTGAGACTGGGGCCATGACAGTCGGGGAGGGCGTCCATTCACCAGACAGTAGGTCTAAACCACTGCATAATACTCAAAAGCAGTCACACTGTCACTGATGGAATAATTCTTTCTTCTCCTTCTTTATTCTTGAAGTCTGTAATTGGTGTGATTTACTCTTATTTGTTCCCAAGATCTGGATGTCTGAAGAGCTTCTTGCATTAGTCTTCTACTTTTTTTCCGAACCATAACCATTGAAAGGTCATTATTATGGTCTGCTTATCCCGATCACATTTTTCTCATGGGGTTCAAGGAGCCAGATGCATTGTCCAAACAACTTATGTGCCAAAGGGGGCAGTAGAAATGTATAATAGTACTAACAACAATACTAAATTTCAATAATACAATCCTTACACAATATGTTTTTCAAGCAATGACAACGGCCCGCCATCATCATAGTAATTCAGCAATTCAAATCAAAATATTATAGACTATGTTTTGCAAGTAGAAAAAAAAATCATCAGGAATCATTTGCCTGAAACACATGAAAAGTTACTATTAGTGAGTTTTAGCTTCCTGTTTAGGGGCACCATTTTAAGGACTTTTCTAATTATATAATATTTAGTTTGAATTGTTAATTGCTATGGCAACGGTGCTAATTTTTCATCACTGTGAAACCCATGGATTAGCTTTTTAATGCTCATTGTTCTCCAATACTGCCATAATATCTGAGTTAACATTATTAATTAGCATGAAGGATGAATTGAAAGCACAAATCTTTGGACATTTATTGTCTCAAAGACATTTATTATATTGGGGCCTAATCACCCATATTATTATTTGGTTCAGGCCTAAACACTGAGTGACAGTGCTTTTATGTGGCTCTGCTGCTCTGTGCGGGTTTAAAGATTTATTTTCAGAAAGTGGAAAAATCACAACCATCATTCTTCTTTTGTTCATGGGAGGACAAAGAGAAGGAAAGATGGCCAAATCTAAAGCTAAGTTGCTCCATGCTCCGAGGCTGCTCTTAGCCACTACGGCTAAACCCATTAGCACCTTTTTTTTTTTTTTTATTATTTTAATATTTGATTCTGTCCTCTCCGTTTTGTGTGTTTTATTTGATTAAAACAATTAATTATAAAATATCATCTTGTGTTTTTCAGGTTGTCGGGATTCATGCTGCCCTCTCCTATAGTGAGCAGTGGATCTATATTGGCCTTATGGTTCACCACAGACTTTGCGGTCAGTGCACAGGGCTTCAAGGCTGTATATGAAGGTAAGAAATGTGAAAATAATGTGTGAATGAGGCTATAAAAGCAGATTGGCTCATGTTGATTTGTTTTACCAACTGTGCTACAACAATACGCTGCTGCCAAGACAAATATATTACTTTGTTTTATTGATCCCCTGAAATTAGACCGTGGCACTATAGTGAAATTCACAGTTTGGCTCATACGACTATAGGTTGGACTAGCCATAATAAGCTAGCTGGCTACTTTTTTGGGTTCAAATTGGTAGGCTAATAAGAAAACATAGCTTCAGCTTCTCTGATTAATCTGTTTGCAACATATTAAACTGGGACTTTCTTATGTGCTGCAGGTTGCCTATTAAATTACGTAACAACAGCTTTCAAGAGTCTTTGAGCTACTCCCACAGACTTCTGCAGAGCATTCATGCACATACATGAAACCAATTTTAAAATCAATACACACATTGATTTATACACATTGATTTGGAGGAGAACATTCAAAAAGATCTTTGAGTTAAGCATAGATACATTTCCATATCTGTGTATGTGACTCAGCCCAGATGCCCGTCTTTGTTATCACGGTGAAATAGTATGGCACTTTTCTGCAGCTGATCTGGTTTAATGTGAGGCTTCAGTCTGGGGAGAGCTGCAGGTAAGTGGCATGTCAATCAATGTCACATACTTACTATCAGTGTGTCCTAGGACCACACTAATGGAGAAATGCACTTTAAGCCTTGTATCAAAGAAGCAAGTTTTTTAAAGGACAGCAATTTTCATATTTATAGTAAAAATAGGCTTCTGTGTAGTTATAAAAGGCACAAAATGGTTGATATGACAATGACCAAAGTGAAGCCTGTTTCCTAGAAAGTAATGGTGTGATAGAAGTTGCAGCCGTTGATCCAAAGATCTGAGGAGCCCATACAATACACAGGATCAGAGTTTGGTTATAGCCTATATAGCTCAGGACCCACAAACAATAGAGGCTTAGGGGAGATTCTGCAGCAAACAGGGGCAGTCGAGGGGTCTGGCTGTCATTACACTCGAGCATTCATGAACTGCACAAAGTCTGCGGTTAGCTGTACTGGCTTTCCCTCATTGTGTTTGGGGCCTGGGCTTGTTGACATTCTGAGAGATTAAGGGATATAGATGGCATATATTTCAGTATGTATGTGTGGAGAGGACACAGACATGCTTTAGCAGCTTGGGCATGGTAGCATGGGGCATCTTAGCATCTTAGTTTGATCAGAGATTCCTAAACCTATAACAACATCCCATGATCATATTGAATTACGGTAGGTCAGTGGATTGTTAAACTCAAAATAGATCACTAAAAACATTTAAAGTGCAGAGATGGACAAACTGGTCAAAACACCAAATCAATTCAGAGTAAACCTGATTTACAATTCAGGACTAAACAAACATTTAAAAATAGCAGAAGTATGTTAGCCTCAGGAGCCAACTCCTCTTCCTTTCTTTTCTGATGCAGTGGTCTGGTCCCCTCTTCACAGCAAATCCCTCTGACCCCTCAGGTGTGCTTGCTACCACCACTGTTTATGTGCTGCACCTCACGCAGGACAAGCACCTCATTTGAACACAAGACAGATACTCTCAAATATCCCTGTGGCGAACCTTATAACATCCTTTTTCTAAAATTTTTAATACAAACTCAAGACTGCTCATTTTTGACAGTTTTTTTTTTTTTGTTTTTTTTTATCAGATTCTTACTCTATAATACCATAGTCCCCTTGCAGAGTAAATTCACCTACCTAACCCTCTACTGTTTGCCACAGGTACATTTGCATGGCCAGTAAAAAAATCTGTTAGTCCAATAATCAAATTTTATGTGTGTTGTGATTTTCATGCACAAAAGATATTTGATAATCCAATAGACCTGATGAAATGTATCGCTTAATGGATTTTTAGAATAACTTGGAAGACAAACTGCAATGAATTTTAAAATAACTCATCACATGTAATCTTTTACATCAGACTGTGATCAGAGTTTTGATGTGCTTATAAAAATAGCCAGTGAGAGAACCACTACTAAACATAAACCTAGTGTTTGGTGCATTATATTATCAATGTGGCAGATACTTCCTCCATTCTTACTGCACTATTTTTTCTTCCCCTGACCTTTTGAGGATGCACTTCTCTACACACACACACGCACACATCATTTTGCTTGTGTAACGGTTCATCTATGAATCATGAACTCTAAATATCAAAGCCAAACTTGCGCGCACATTCACTCTGGCCCCCTGTGTATCCTTGTGTTCTTCTGGTATATTGTGGACCCAACAGTTATGGATGGGTTTTCAGCGAGAGTCATTAAAACCAGGAAGTACTTTTGTATCCCATTGTTTGTGTTCTCAAACTTTCAGGGCGCAGAAGTGTTGCCTGAGGAGCGGTGTGCCTGTGTGTTTGTTCATCTGGCCTTCTCTTGATGTCTTTATTTTGATGTTGTTTTGCATCAGTCTGGCAGACATTAAAAATTGATTTATGAGAACAGGCGTGCGAGTCAAAGCACAGAATAACAGTGCATCGGGCGTGTCTGGGCTTTCCCATTAATCACTGGAGTTTGTCTGGAATTTTAGCTTTTTTCACTTTTTGTAATATCACAAAACTATTCTTGTTTGCCAGAATTGTGAAAAGACTAGAATATAAATCTTCTGCTACTAAATATTATCTATAATTTACTGTGATTCCATCTTAGATGTAGACAATTTAGACTTAGGCAAACTTTGTTGATCCACAAGGGAAATTATTTGGACACAGTATCATAGTATATTATAAGCGCAAAGAGCAAAAATGTAAATGGTAATAATTCAAAATAAGTAGCAAAATAACAAGAGACAGGTGTCAGATAAGGCATAATTATATAAATGTTTATGTACAAGCAAAAAAAAAAAAAAAAGAAATATAGCAATACAAATATATTTCTCAGCTACATACAAGAGCTCATAAAGAGAAACAGTGGAAGGATGAAATAGTGATTGACATGACATAGGGCTGTCTAGTACATAAAGGTGAGTTTTTGTACAGTTGTATGGAGTATGGTATAAATGTTGTCCTGTATCTCTCACTGTTTGAGCGGAGCTGTAGGAGCCTGTTTCAGAATGAGCCCCTCTGTCCTCTATTGTCCATGTAAGCATGAAATCTTCCTCTTCTTCTTGTCCAAATGTGTGTATAGATTTACAATAATTTGTTTCCATGAATTGGAGGTTTCGTGTCTTCCAGGAAAGCTTCTCGTTTGTATTAAATGAATTATGGCTGAATACCCCTTTGTGTCACTTTTCTTGTATGGCAGCTGCCGGATGTTTTGCCCATGTACTATGACCATATATGGTGTCAGTCCTATGTACTAAATATACCACATTGTAATCTAATTATCATAAACTATAAATCCTGATGATTTCTTTTGTCTGGGCTGCTCTGGGCCGCTGCAAAGTTGTACCATGGAACATCCTGATGTTATTAAACTTCTTTCATGTAACTGTTCATCTGGCTATGGAGTCAGTTCTGTGACAGATGTCTCCAGCTCACAGCCGGTCACATGACGGGCTTCACATGACATCAGTTGCTTTCCCCATAATTGTCCAAAGTGAATGGTCTTGACTGACACACTGCCCGTTTTTGTGCCAAAATGTCAAAGCAATTGTCCAAGTGGGGCCAGAGTTGTTGGTCTTCTAAATAAAGTCTGAACAAATGATGGAGCCTGGTTTTGTTCTTGTTACCTCCCAAGTAAAGCATGATGTCCTTACTTGTGGTGTTTCTCTGAACAGCAACTCTGGAAATTAATTTTCAGTTTTATGTGAAGGAAGATAAAGGATGACTCACAAAAGAGTCATTTTTGGCGTGGGTTCATCTGTCTTCACCAGGTCTTAGGCAACATTTTAAAACTGCATTTTCTATACACACAGTGCACATTAAATTAGCTTGATCTAATTTTGTACAACATGGAGCCAGAGATCATTTTTTAATTGTTAATTAATAGGAATGCATCAATCCAATACTGGTATCAGATATTAGCACCAATACTGAAAAAAATTGTTGGATTAGTTATCAGCTTCCAAGGATTGGTTCAGCCAATATCCTGGTCACTTCAATGTATGTAATAAGACTGTTCAGAAAGTCTCAGAATGTTTGAACTTTTATTTATGCAAATTTATTCTGTCATTATTTTAGAGATAAATAACAGCTATAACACATTTGGATCATTTATGTTTCATTTTATTTATGTTTTAAGAAAATAAATGCTGTTTTCAGTCTTTGCACTGGTATCAGCTGATATCGGGTGTCGGCAAATGCTTAAAGTCATAGTATCGAAATCTGTATCTGAACTGAAAAAACTGGATCCCTATAAATTAACAAAATAAACTATTGCTAATCGGTAGTTGACCCTGATTACTGTTAGTGGAGGGACTTCCCAGTATGTTTATAAATGATAATCTCACATTGTCCATCTGGCACGGCACACTCCAAACTACAATCCTCTGTCTTTGCGTGTACTTACCTTTGTATTCCCATTCAGTCTTGGTCTCCCCCTTTTGTGCAAATCTCCCCCTGTTCAAATCTCTTATTAAAGCAAACCAATTTGAACTATACTTCTGACCACAAAGAGGGCTGATAAGATGTTAGCAATGGGAGGGGCCGATTGAGAGGGAGGTCAGATGGAGCTGTACATGGTGGAAAGCAAAGCACGGCAGCACTAATGAAAAACCAAGTTTGCAAACTAGCTGTGCGCACAAGATAAACATCAATTAATTTCCCCCTCAAGAAGAAAGAGGAGAGAAGTACGGAGAGCTGAAGGGAGGGGCTCTACTTTGTTGCCTCACCACTGCATAATTATTCAAATGGAAAAAAACCAAAACTTTGATTCATGTTTTATTGACAGCGAATGGGATTTCTCAGTGTTTGGAAGCTGTGGGCCTAAAATCCACGGAGTGATCTCTGTCACATGCAATGCCCTCATCTCCTCGTGTCGCCATTCTCAACCGCGTTCTCCTGGAAAAAGTTCTAAAACCCTG